CGAGATACTGACAAACTCAATGAATTCAAGATAGCTCTCAACAACAGGTTCCAAGCCTTACAAGATCTACTGAATGAAGAAGAAACTACTATGGAGGACAACTGGAAAGGCATCAAGGAAGCATTAACTTCAACGTGTCAAGAGGTTCTGGGCCTAAAGAAACACCATCATAAGGAATGGATCTCTATAGAAACACTGGACAAGATCAAAGAAAGGAAGAACAAGAAGGCAGCAATTAACAACAGCCGAACACGAACAGAGAAAGTCCAAGCACAAGCTGAATACATAGAAGCAAACAAGCAAGTGAAGAGAAGCATTAGAACCGACAAGAAGTAGTATGTGGAAGAACTAGCAACGACGGCAGAAAAAGCTGCTAGAGAAGGAAATATGAAACAGCTTCACGATACAACGAAGAAACTAGCAGGGAAATACAGTAAACCAGAGAGGCCGGTCAAAGACAAAGAAGGCAAGCCAATCACCGAAATTCAACAACAGTGTAACAGATGGGTAGAATACTTCGAGGAACTCCTGAATAGGCCGGTTCCAATGAATCCACCGGACATCGAAGCAGCACACACAGATCTTCCCATAGACGTCAACCCACCAACGAAGGAAGAAATCAGAATGGCCGTCAGACAAATCAAGAACGGGAAAGCAGCAGGACCCGACAACATACCAGCTGAAGCACTGAAATCAGACGTCGAAGCAACCACAAGCATGCTTATCTTCTACTCAAAAAGATTTGGGGGGAGGAACAAGTGCCGATGGACTGGAAAGAAGGACACCTCGTCAAGATTCCAAAGAAAGGAGATCTGAGCAAATGTGAAAACTACAGAGGCATTACATTACTGTCAATACCAGGGAAAGTCTTCAACAGAGTGTTGCTGAACCGGATGAAAGACTCAGTAGACGCCCAACTTCGAGATCAACAAGCTGGATTCCGTAAGGATCGGTCGTGCACAGACCGAATTGCAACACTACGGATCATCGTCGAACAATCAGTTGAGTGGAACTCATCACTATACATCAACTTCATTGATTATGAAAAAGGATTTGACAGTGTAGATAGGAGGACATTATGGAAACTTCTTCGACACTACGGAGTTCCTGAGAAGATTGTCAATATTATCCGCAACTCATACGACGGACTACAGTGCAAAGTAGTGCATGGAGGACAGATGACAGATGCATTCCAAGTAAGGACCGGAGTCAGACAAGGCTGTTTACTCTCTCCCTTCCCCTTTCTTCTGGTGGTCGACTGGATTATGAAGACCTCGACATCTGAAGGAAAACACGGAATACAATGGACAGCTCAGAATCAATTAGACGATTTGGACTTCGCAGATGACCTAGCCCTCCTATCACGTACACACGAACAGATGCAGACAAAAACAACCAATGTGGCGGCAGTCTCTGCATCAGTAGGCCTCAGCATACACAAAGGGAAAACCAAAGTCCTCAAATTCAAAGTGGAGAACAGCAATCCAATCACTCTTGATGGCGAAACTCTGGAAGATGTAGAATCCTTCACATACCTAGGAAGCATCATCGATGAACAAGGAGATTCAGATTCAGACGTAAATGCGAGGATCGGCAAAGCAAGGGTCGCGTTCCTACAATTGAAGAACATATGGAACTCAAGACCACTTTCAACCAATATCAAAGTCACAATCTTCAATACCAACGTCAAGTCAGTTCTACTGTATGGAGCTGAAACTTGGAGAACTACAACAACCACAATCAAGAAAGTACAAGTATTTATAAATAGTTGCCTACGCAAGATACTCAACATCCATTGGCCGGATACCATCAGCAATAGCCTTCTGTGGGAGAGAACAAACCAACTTCCAGCTGAAGAAGAAATTAGGAAAAGACGATGGAAATGGATAGACAGTGTTGTACAAAAGTGTAGAAGGGCGTATACTAGGGTTTATTGAAGCCTTAACCATACGAAAATTCAAATCCCCTTTGTATGTTCAAAAACATATTGTTTTCACCTTAAACCTACCCTGGTTATATTAGCTTGTTATCCAGAGTGATCAGGTTTCAAGTTGTTTTTCATATTATTTTATTTATTATCCTTGTCTCCTCTTACCCTCCATTTCTAGTCTAGTTGACCCTTTAATTTTGATATAAGAATGTCTTAACAAGTATATGCGTGATCAGATTGTTCGAAATGTATTGCGCTAATATATCACATAATTCCTTTTTAATTCAGTGATAAGTGCTCAGACTAATACTCAACTTATTTATCTTGTAATAATTTGCTCAATTTAAGATTAGTTTCATTTTCAATGTGATTTTTATTCAGTATGATATGATATTCTTTGTAATAAATTAACGTGAACTATGCTCAGAATGATATGTAGCATGTAGTTTGTTACCATTTTAGGCACTTTGACATATGTGACCTTTTTCCTAATAATAAAACAAAATGGATGTACAAATCAATATACAAACGAGTGTATTTTTGTTTAGAATCTTCACTTGTACCATTCTTTGTGTTCATACTTCACAACGAAGGAATTGCAGAGGTTCATCATTTTTAAAGTATAAAAAATATGGAGATGCATAGATAACGATGGCGACCCGGATATAATGTTAATTTAGTGTTGAATTATAATAATTTTTCTAACACTCGCTCACGATCCCTAATATATCGAGTAGTGTATTAATTGTGTGTTTTTAATTGTCAGATTTGATTAAACCAGAGATTCAAAAGAATAAATGGGAATTTTGAAATTATAGTGGACAATTTATGATATTTAGCTGCATTCCAATTTACATCGATATCATGTTACGTGGCTAATTAAACCTGATGTATTTATAGTAGTTATGGCTCAAGCCCTAAAATAATGCCCTGAGCCCTCGTATTTGTAAAACTCTGTTGTTATATTAAACACAGTAATTAATTAACCAAAAATTACGTCATTTATTTTCTGTCGATCGGATGTGCTTCATTTTATATCGTTTCACAAGTTAAGAAAACATTTTTACGGCGAGATTATAATTTATGGACGAACCAATTAGATTGAAGATATCAAGTTTTATATTTTACTGCGAAGTTCATTTACCTATATAATTAAATCGCACTTCGGCATTATAGCTTATGTCAGTTCGTGATGAAAACTGTTGATTTAATTCTTAAACCTAAATTCTAACTCTAAATCCTAATCTTAATTCCTTATACTAATTTGTAAACCGCTTTTAGACCTATAGTAAGGTGAGTTGTCTCAAGATCACTTTAGCGTCGCTCTAAGATCGTCCATAAATTATGGTACCACCGATTTTACTTTTATGGGAAGGTAAACTGGGCAGATAGAATAACATGAACAAAACTATATTTTACAAAATAAAAATCGATGAAAGATTGTATCGTCAATAAAACAAGACTAGATTATTTCTCATGAATTTTATGAATAAGGAAATTATCCCATTAAGCATCTTCCAACCTGATTATTAAAATGAATTTCTCGTTTATTTTATAGGTAACTGAACAAACTAGTCACAGAAATTCAAATCATATCTTTAACCTGTTTAAAATCACTATTACCATTATCGCATTTTGAACACAAATATTTTTTTAGTCCTAAGGAGTATCTATCACGAGCAGAATAACTCAGTACTAATGTCTGTGTATCAGTTTACTCAGTAATGGAAATGAACTTTGCTATTAAGTGTCAAGCAGTACGAAACAAGGATCGAGTTTATGCTCAGGTATACCTATGTTCAAAGGTAATATGTACAGTTTGGCGTCACACTACTGGCCACATTGTAACTTAGTTGATAGAATTTGATCAGCAGTAAGGACTAGACAAACAGAAGATTGGTTACTACTGTATGATCAATCAGCATATATGGCTAAGACATGAGACAACTTTACACATATAGATGTTTAAGAGTACAGGATTCGATCATACAGAAAAAATGATTGTAATAACTAACCAACATTTGGAAGAATTATTGGGCATATGTACCTATTGAAAATTAATTTTCTTTTCAAAAGCCTTATACAAAAATGTAGAATCTTATGCTAAAATTCAATGACTTAATTTTTTAGACACCTCTGCTAATTAAAACGAGGAAATCGATGGTAAAAGAAAACTTTGAAAAGGGAATAAGGAGAAAGAAATCAGCTGGTAGAGTAACAAGTAGACTTAAAATAATAAGATGCCCAATATTTGGAGAGCGAAAAAAAGTGGACACCATTTCGAATTTCTCTTTTTTACTGTCAATAAATTGTGTTTTCTTTTACTATTCCTATCACATTAATCAAGATAAGTAACGCCAACCCATATATTACAAACAGGCACTAACTGAATTTATGGATCACTATTTTATTTTGGTCTTGTCATTCCTAAATAGTTTTCTTCCACCTTATGTTTACAACAACAGCAGGAAAATAGAATAATTTATTACTTATATACACATAACGAAATCGCATCTAGTGAAAACGGGTCACATGAACTCAAACAAGAAAGTTTGCATTTGAATTACAGATATGTGTATGGAATATGTGAAATGAGGACGAAGGAAATTGAGAAACCATTCTCATCTAATTGTTTCGTATTAATATCAGTATTAGTTGGCACTTGTTACTAGCATAAGTTGCAGCATTCATCTAATTCATAAGACTCAAAAACCAACCCACCAAGATATTTACAATCATCATAATTTAGAGGAACAAGAATAATGACTTTATTTCCTTTTTCTTTAAAATATTCTATTAATGGTAGTATTATTCCTAAGTATCTCAATAGTTTTATGAAGATTTGTCCATTTTAATGTACAACTTGAAAAACTGTTCTTACCATTCATTGACATCCAGTTTATATTCGGTGTTCACTAATTATTTCAATAAAAGCTTTGAAAAAAAAAATATTTGAAATGTTTAAACACTCTTAAGCACAATTGAGCTTCACCATCATTAATTAAAGTATTTACCAAGACATCAGAAACTCAATTGATTTTGTCCTCTTGAAAGATATTGCAGTTTTGTTTTATTTTACATAATAATAAAAATAACAATGATCATACATAGCCTTTATGTGTGCTATGGAGAAAATATTAAACTTACCCATGGAATAATCAACTTCTACTGGTCTTATATTGATATTATATTGATTGATATCCATACCGTTTGTAGTTTCTGTATTCCAATGAACATTATATCCTGTGGGACTAATATAATCCTGAGAAGCAAGTAGTTTAAGTACAGGTCTAGATAATCGATTAGTTGTAACCTATCAACATATAAAGTTAATTGATGATTACAAACGACGAATACTAATTAAAACATGAATTATATACCTTTATTTAACTTAAAAAAACTTCCGTTTTTTATCAACATTAACTAACTGGATATTCTATTAGCAGTAATTTGTAAAGGATATTTTATAATAGAAGACTGAATAAATAAGAAACATGTATCGGTAATGCATGCATCATTCACAATCGAACAATTTCCTAATAGTAGAATACTTTCTCATTCTACTACTAGTTGACTTTGAACAAGAAAGTAAAAGAAATACATTCTTCCTACAAAGCTATTGAAAACAACTTAAACGAACATAGAAGATAATATAAAATAAGTTCGTAACTTAAAAGTAGTATATGTTTAGCCAGATTATTGACACGTCATGTTGAAGGTTACCGATAAGATGTAAATTATGACGGGGAACTGCTCGTTAACTACAGAATAGGACGAATGAACTTTACTACTGCTGTTTATTCTGATGTTTCAAATTGAACATATCAGGAACATTAAGATGTCCTGTGGCAAAAGACGATCACTGGTTAATCAGCTAAAGGAAATGAGTAAGCTGGGTTTTCTATACATACATAGTGTGTATAGTTTACAATGATTTGTGTGAAATATAAGAATTGTGCTGCAATGTCAGATAAAAAGATCTTAAAAATAAAGATGAGAATAAGTAACTCGCATTAACAACTTGTGATGGATAACTTTTAACGGTGGACAAGGTTAATGAGCAATAAGTGCTGTTACACATACCTGTAAATACGCATTTGGTCCTCTTCCTGCTCTTGATACGGCTGACAGAGCAAATCTATAGTAATAACCTGGAATAAGATTAGGTAATCTCAGCACTCTGCGACCAGGAAGATAAGCGAAAGGCCCATGAAAAGCACCACGTGGATGAGTTTGGATTCTTAATTCATAATGAGTTAGTGGCAAACCACCTGTCTCATTTGGAGGTTCAACACACAATTCAATTAAAGTTGCTTCAACCTAGTTGAAATATTGAAATACATATAATAATTACATACATACGTTGAGTACATACATTAATTATATCATTTGCATATATTCCATTAGTTGTCTTTTACATACTTCATAATTCTTCCAATTGTGTTTTTATTCCAATTCCTCTCTGTTTTCCTTTCTGCTTTCTTCAGCTCGATCTTCCCAGTCTTCTGTTGCAAGGCATTCCACTTCTGATTGATTTACATACTACTTATATCTGTCAACATAAGTAGCATACACCACAATGGTACTTTACATTTCTTACTCCTTGATATTAAATGACCATCATCTCTTTTGAAAACATTTTCCGAAATAGTTATTAATAGTGATATAATCAACGAATATGCTTTGTTAAGATAATTTAATAGTTGAAATGGAATGATAAAAAGCATTCGATCCATCGCTCCTCAGGAGACCCGATTACTGACGCAGTGAACTGACATCCAAGACAATTTCTAGCCCAAAGAATAAGTTCTTTTTAATAAAATACCACGTTAATGTTACAGAATATTGAACAAATGAATAAACACGATTAGAAGTTAGCTGATACATCAACGATTAGACGATAAACATTTCGTAGATCACTCATGTGCCAATGAAATTTCCCATAATTTCAGAAATAATATCAGTTTTTAATAAATAACGTTCTAATCAAAAATCTTATTGAACCATATTAATTTAGTAGTTTAGCACCAGTGGCGATAAATCTCGAAATTGATCGTAATAACATCTGCATCACTTTGTAAATGAGAAAATTATTTTTATGAAAAGATTCCAAGTGAAGGAATGTGAAATGAACATTTACAACACATGACATGAGTATACACTTATTGATAAACTTAACTGAGATTACCTTTAGAAGAAGAAAACAAATGAAATACGTAGGATCTAATTTGTCTACTGATGGGTGAAACTATCTGTCTCTTAAACGAATTAATATAGTTAGTTCAAAATATGGGAAAGGAACGATAAGCACATATATTTCGAATACTAGTGAGGACATGACAAAAGCTAATTCATGAAAGAAATATCCAGTTTTACTTTTTTGAAAAGTATGACTTCGTAATTGGTCAGTCCAAGAATAGACTTAATCTAAAGGATAGACAATTGCCCAAAATATGTTTGGTTGATTCATTCTTATAGATCAGTATTAACACAATAATAAATTAAACTTTTTGAATGGTAACTTATGTTTTTCTCATGTGACGTGATCAAGAAAAAAATATTGTATATTTTTGAGAGCTCATTCACCGTTTATCTTACGACAACTATTCATTAGTTAACTTACTCTACAAGCTCTTAAAGCTGGTCTACCAGGATGGCTAGCTAGCTGCAGTCGAACATGCCCAGTAGCATGGCCTAATCTATTGGTTGCAGTACATGAATAAGTACCAAATACTCCGACATTCCAATAACCAGCAGGAACAGTTAATTCAGTTACAGAATATTCACCGTCTTGATAGTCCATTTTAATATAACTGAAATTAAGAATTATGAATCGTTTTTTATCTTATTAAAAGGTGTTAATTAAAATGTAGAAATTAATAAAAGTAATTCATAAATTTACATATCTAAAGGTTACTGTTCCTACCTCACTAGAAGGGAACAGTACACTGTATTTGGAGGAAAGTGTTCCGAGTCGCTACTATCTCATGAAGGTGTACCACAAGGAGCTGTTCTTTCACCTCTTCTTTTCTCTTTTTCTTCTGCATGATCTGCCATCTTCCACAGAAAACACTTTTGTGAAATATGCGGATGATCTCACTGTATGTATGCCTATCTCTTCCTCTTTACATCCCATAGAAATGAATGGGTTTTTATCTCGTATTGATTGTTGGTCTGTTGGTAATGGTCTCATACTTAATCCGTCTAAATGTCAAGCCATTAACATTAACATGAGACGTGAACGGAATCTAAACACTATTTTGAGATCCAATAATGCTTGTGCCATTGGAGGCTCTTTGATGAACACAGTGTCGAAGATCAATTATCTTGGTGTTACCTTTTCCTTTGATCTCTCTTGTTCTTCTCACGTTTTGTTGTTATCGGAGAAGGTTTTCCGTCTGAATTACTACATAAAGAGATTGCATGCTCTTGGGATTACTCGTCATTTACTCTTACAATTTGTCAATTCTTGCATATTACCTACTATTCTTTACTGTTCTTCATTATTCTTTCCCGGGCTTTTGAGAAAAGACTTTGTTGTATTGCGGAGAGTGCTGAAGGCAGTTAGCAAGATGTGTGGTGAATCTTTCGAGGTCAAAATTAATATGTTTGTGGATAGACATCTAAAGTCATACAAACTCCTGGCAGGTGTTATTTTATCAGATACTAACCGCGCCCTTTACTCTTATCTTTCTCCTTGTATATCTTCTGGTAGAACGAGACGTAATTACATTAAAATTCATGCACGCAAGCAAAAGTATAAGAGTCCTATAATACTTTACCTAGCAAATATACTCTGTGACGAACAGGTTGTTCGAGTTAACTTAGTCAATAACCTGCATTCTTAACATATCTCTAATTTGAAAAGTCGTACATTTTTTAGGTTTTTTTAAGCCTTTTTTTCCTTTTTTTGTCTTTGTTACTGTTTTCTTTTGCGTAAGTAACTTGTTGAAATACCCTGTACTGAGAATTCTATATTGTACCAAGATATAATATTGAATAAAGCCACTAATAATAGTAATAATAATAATAATAATAATAATAATAATAATCAAATAGCTTTAGTTAAGGAAAACTTTTATAATAAGAATTAAGTCTATCTTAAATGGACAGACTGACAAAAAACACGGTAATGTTGCTGAGGTTACATGTGCTGTTACACATAGGTTTACTTTATTAGTCAAAACTGACCACTTGCAATTCTAAGTATCAGTAGGAAATTTAAACAACCAATATATATCACTTAATATCTTGTTTAGTACAGAGTCAATTTTGTTTTGAATATGAGCCAAATATCTCTTAAAGTGCTTTTGTATGTGAAGGCATTGTGAACGTTTGCTTTTCCTAATACGCACCAAGTTTCTATACATCAAGATGAATTACCCCTTCTAAGTTTATAATAAAAAAGTTTTATATCTCTTCAAAATAAACATTGACTGGAAATTTGCATTACTATTGATAAACAGATTTCGCCATCGGCAAGAGTTCTTGTTATAGCAAGTTCTACATACTACCGTTAACGGGTACATGTGCAACAAGATAAAGGGCTGATTATTAAGAGGTCAAGTTCAGTTTCTTTTTCCGGATAATGATTGTGTACAGTACATAAGTGAATGTGAAGATTTTTTGTAAAAACATATGAAGCTGGCAAAAAATACATATATAAGTGAATAACAGTTAGTGCTGACATATGATAAACAGAGTATATAGTGATAGGATAGCAAAAACCTTGAAACTAGTTGGTGACCTAATAGTCAGAATATGAAACTAGTTCATTAGTGTGAGAACTTAGCATATTATTTGTTTCTTATATGCATTTAAAGCATATACAATTGTTAGCGATTACCATCCGTGTCATAATTCGAAAACAAACTGATAAACGAAATATTTTGCAAATGAACTGCAGCATGTCTTTGGTGAGTAGTTATGGGACACTAGTCAAACACCATATTGGATTTAAAGGAAGGATTTTAACATTATCAGAGGCAAATAATGGATGTAAATAAAATTTCCTCATGACATAAAATTAAATTATAGGACAAGTTGCACATTTTTTCTACTCTATCAGTCTTGACAACACTTGACAGAGTAACAAAAATATATTTGGATGCATATCAAATATTCTTTCTAGATAGTTTGATGAAAATATTGTCAGATGGCTACAGAAAGCTTAAAAATAGCTAAACGTATCCATCATATTTTTCTGAATATTCTACTGTACGAGATCCCTTTATTCGAAACAAACTATTTTAACTTGGAAAGTTATCACTGAATTTCTATTTATCAACTTAAGACAGCATTTGACTCAGTTAACCGAGAGGTTCTGTGGATACGTTAGTCATTTAAAGACATACCACAGAGATATATAAACCTTCTGAAGGCTCTTTATTCAGAGACTATCGGTCGAGCCGGACCATATGATGAACTGTCACTGGGATTTTCAACCTCAAGTGGTATTCTCCAGGGCTGCCCACTGTCTGCCTTTTTTCAAGTTTCCCATGGATGTCTTTCTAGAAACAGCGCTCTTCACATGACTTCTACCTGAAGCTTGTGCTGATGATGTCGTTCAGAAGAACGATGAAAGTTCTATGACCAAACCATCCAGCTCAGAGAACAAAACTCCGCCGAAATCATCCACCTGAGCTACAGATTTTCTCCACCATCTCAATGTCATAGTCTTCTTTGGTGAAAACTACGACATGATACAACGTCTTTTGGTCACCTTGAGCAACACTGTAATTATTATTGGGATGCACTACTATCTCTCGTTATGCAAAATGTAGTCTCAGTACTTGTTTGTGTCAACGTATGAACTAATGATAGAGAGTGAGGTAGTTAAGTTTGATGGTTACTTCACTTATCTTGAAAGTTTCATCAGCCCTATTGGGTTGGCGTCTCTCAAAATCTCGACATGGATTCAGAGAGGTCGGTTAGCTTTTGCAAACGTGTCTCACTTATAGAGTAGGTGAGATGTCCGTCTGCTAACTAAATGGCAAGTTTACTGTGCAGTAGTTTGCTCTGTTCCCTTTGATGGCTGTGAAACATGGTCTATAAAAATAGAGAATATTCGTAGGTTTCTAAATTTCTTTAAAACATTACTCTCATTTCGCGGAACTGCCAAGTGGGCAGTGTTGAAATAAGGAATATTCCACTTAACAAAGGTGTTAAATCGATTGATAAAACTTTAAATCTTTATTGACTGAGTTGGTTAGGACGTGTTACATGTGCCTAATCACCGCCACCTGGACAGGTGATGTCTGGTGTTGGAGCAGACTGGAAGAAAGCTAGGGGTGGATAAATAAAGAGATTTTTTGCTTAATTTTATTATATTTTTCACATAGAGTAGAAATTTGAATCTAAGGCTACTTTTATGATAAACACTTTATTTATTTATCCAGTAATCAAACTGTTACATCGCAGTGACACAAAGCAGCAGAAAGTACCGTTGTAGACGCTAATCATCCAGTCGAAAATATCACTTGCTTTTCTTTATTGTTTTATTGACATATTTACTCTTAGGTATTTTAATTGCTCGGGATAAATTGACATTAGGTTTTTAAAATCAGTACTTGTTGTTTTATTTCAGCCTTTAAAAACTAAAATTAAGACTCTTACAATTTCCGATGTAATGCAGAGTTGAAGTGCACAATGCTAATCAGTAAGGTTACTTACCCTTTCGGATCATTCAGTTCACCTAATGGTACACTTGGTCCACTTTGTGGTCCCACCCATTTCCATTGAGGTGTTGGTTGTCCTAGTGCTTGACAAGCTATTTTAGAAGGTAAATGAGATAAACCATAAACAACATATTTGCCAGGTTGAGACAGTGTTTCACTTTCATCCGCATCCAATCGGTCTGATATTTCACTAATACGTCGAGGCTCTGCGGCAGGTGGAGCGAACCAAACTGTCACTCTCCCAGGCGGTTCTGATGATGTAGGAGTAACTGCTCGCCAATGAGGTCCGGAGAGTGCTTCACATAAATAAAATGAATTATCTTCTGGTGTTAAATCTGAAAAGTATTGAAACGAAGAATCTGGTGTAATTTCTGTCGATAATTAGTAACTTAAATCTCACTGATAGCAGTTACAATACTTAATAGCCGTTGTTTAAGAAAATGAGCGAATGCTCAATTATGGTGTTGGGATACTCAGAAAAATATCCCAAAAACAATTATCCGGTTAAGTCTAACGATACCCTTGAACGTTAAATGGTGTCATTTCCCTATTGGTCGTTTCCCTACGGATCAATATTTATTTCGCGTGTCACTTTCCTATTGGTCAATAGTATTTGACGTGTCATCTTTCTGTTGGTCAATATTTATAGTAATCCTAATTGTATAAATATGCATTTGTTTGTAAATCATTATTCTGCTGCTCCTGACCCCATAAACGACTTTTCATCTACGGTTCGTGTTCTGATATATTGGAGATTGGGAACAGTCTTGGGGTCGAACTGGGATATCTGAAGCTTGTCAATCGGTAGAATTTAGAGTAGCCAACTCGCGATTCACAATACATAGTAATTCATATATTCCTATACGTTATAAGAATCTCACTTATAGAAGTTTATTTTTCATTATTATGAGTGAGTGGCAAATCTAACTGCTACTTAGGTTTCAGAATGTTGACTGAAGCAATCACAAGAATCACTATTTAAACACGTCAGCCATTGACCAAAAAGCATGTAAAATGCAACTAACCAGTACGTACATAATTCATTACCACGTAAGCAACGTCAAAAGAACTGAAAGGTTTTTAAATTTTAGGTCGTTAATTAAACAAACAAACAAACAAACCTGTTTTTATAATTCAATGAAATATTTAAGTGACTTAGTTATCATCATTCATAGTTCAAATATGCACAAGTGATACTGTTTATTTTAGTTGAGTAATCCGGCCCAAATCAGTTGAAGTGTGTCAGATTTGACAGTTCATATCAAGAAAATACTTTTTTGCATCAGGTTAATAAAAAAAGTACTAAAGACACTTTAAATGAGTTAGAAAAATGTCCAAAAAGATGGGAACTACATTCGCTTTCAGAAAATATTATTATTGTTATCACTAAAATATCCTAAATTTTTCCACTCACAAATTGACAAAGTATTTACAGACTGGTGATGATTGCCCGTTAAATCATTTTACACAAGTGAAAAAATCTTTTTGAGTTTGAGTCCCATCTATTACATATAGTTATCTTCCTTATCAGAAAGGACCACTTTATTACATAATACTGTTTTTGGGGTCACTGAGCATAAATCATATATCTCTAAATTACTCAATACTTTTAGATGATTACATCCAAAATTTATCGAAAACGAGCAATTTATTAATATCCTTACCTTCAATCTGTATGCAAACAATGAATGTTGAAAATACATTACATATTCTTACTGAAACAATATGTTTCTAAATTAAAATAACCAAATCGATTTCTTAATTAGTGCACAATTAAAATCGAATCTTATCAAGTTTCTTACTGGAATCACTGATTTTATGATAATCCATTCTTACCAAATACATCAACATTTAGAGTTCAGGAATTATAGTTTAGGCTCACTTGTAGTCAGTATGGTCGCACTCCTGAGGAGATCCATATTAGGACAAAACAGTAGTACAGTCCTCCCTGACTTTTAATGATACCCAAAATAAGATAGCTCTCGAGCAAATGTAATGTACAGAATTAACCTTTTTATTGACTTAGTTTCAAGGTGAGTGACTGGTTTCGTTGTGGAAAACCCAAAGAAAAATATTTTGTAAAGTATTTTTCGAATCACAATTTGCAGTATTTAAAAACCAGGAATAGGCAGAGAACACTTATCACAAAACACTAAAACATTACCTTCAGGTTTCATAATCATATGTGTGTTATGTTTGCTGAAGTCTTGACTGACATGTGCTTGATACTGGAACCCCAAATCCAACAATGAGTAGGAAAAAAACAGAAACTGGTGATAAGAATGTTTCGATCTCCAAAATAGACCTAACTGATACCTGAATACACTACTTTTTATATGGTTCTTTAGTCAGATTAACATTCAGATTTATATAATTTAAAATGGGTATTACTCAACATCAATTAATCAGTAACCTACAGAGTGAACACATTTACAATTTCATATAATTAAATATTTATGACCAACAGATATAACCAACTGACTAAGTTACGTAATTACTCTTTCACAGAATGTAATAATATGCCACAGGGGATTGAGAATAAATCATTTTCATGTATTGTTCCCACTGCAATTCGTTAAATCATTGCTCGCTATATCAATTTGAAGAGTAATTAAAGTGCTAATGTTACAAAACAATTCTGAAGATTAGTGGAAAATTCTTAAAATTTCATGCAGTGAAAATATCTTTTTGTCAGATAGTGAAACGCAAGCTTTATGGACAATCACTAAACGTTTTGCAGAAAATTCATCACAAATTGTCTTTAGGAATAAATAACTAACTACAGTAATAGTTTGTTGCTGAATAACTAATAATCAAAAGCGATACAATTACATTTTCTGACAATACACATAATCTGTTGATATATGATATCATAGTTTACGAAAGCTTACCTGTAATATCCAAACGTAAAATTGTTGCGTATGGATTTCGCGGATCTGGTTCAACTTTCAAGTGATATCGAGGATTCATACCAGGTTTGACAATTTCAATAAAATCACTGTTATTTGATTTATCGCTCATGCCATTTCCAGTCAACAAACTTGTGTACTCTGTATCAGATGGAAACCAGTCATTTAATTCGTTATCTTTAACGAATGATTTATGATTAAACATTGGGTTGGTGTATGAAGAATGAACTGACTGAGGTTCAGGAAGATCTTCATACGATTTAAACATAGGATTTTTATTTTCTGAATACATAGAATAAGATAAAGAAGAAATTAGTTTGTTGACACCAGGACCTTTTAAAAGCCGAACCCGTAGACCCATTTCATTTGGAAGACCGCCGTATGCTTCACATGTTAGCCTGCAACTTTCTCCAGGATATCCGCTGGCTTTCAAATTAGTTCCTGAGCGAACAAATCTGGGTCTGAGAACAACATCAGGAAGAATGCTGCAAAAAAATGTACGAGTGTTGATGAAAAGCTTCAGCTAAGTAGAAACCTACATCAAGTTAGAGTATTATGAAAAAGAACTTTAAAAAACACAAAAACAATGACAATAAATTCATCATGTGTAAAGTTAGAATATGTTCTCTAGGTTGTAAGCAGCAGAAGGGAATTCATATAATAAACGACTTCATATTGCTCTGCTACATTCGTTGTTCTTGCCTGATTCAAGAATATCAATGGAAAAAGTATCATGAATTTTTGGATAAAACGAATGAGTTAACTATTCTACTACTCTTTGATTCACTTATGTAAAAATACTCATACGAGACACGTCGACATGTAGTCATCGTTAATTCTTGCTAAATATGAGACTTAAATCTGAGTTAAAACTCTTGAACTTGAAGAAAAAGGTTTGAGGAAAAATGATTCTTACTAACACCAAACGACAACTTTCTTCTATTCCATATAATGAATTGTCCTCATAATGTCTTTGGACATGGAATAATTCAAGACCCAATTTTAGGCAAAAAGGTTTATTGCATACGTAAGTCATCTCATTTAATTAATTTTTACAGATATACACTCACCTCCCAACATCAGTAAAATTTCCAGCCCCACCATAGTAATTCAAATTCAAGAGGGCAAGACAAGTATAACGAGTGGCATCTGAAGGCATTAAGTTATTGACTGTTAGGCGTGACATTGCTATAACGGGGTCTCCCCGGTCATCTTTTCGAAGACCAGTAGACAACTGAAAACGACCTAATTCATGTGTTTGTATTCCTTTTCTGTGAATGCTTCCAGGATTTTCAGGTGCTTTGTTTGTAACTTCATTTGATATATTTACCATGTTAATTACAGCAGGAAAAAGATGATCGAAGTCAGCGATAAGAATTCCCAGTTCTCGTTGTACATCTTCCAAAGGTAAGTGCTGTAATGCTGACTTGATCCGTTGGTCGAATGTAATAGCCTGAGAACTATTTGTTGTTGAAGATCCCATACCACCTCTATACCAGAGTAGTTGGGGACTCGGTCTTCCACGAGCTTGGCATTCTAATATGAGTCTTCCACCTTCCTGAACTATCTTTCTTGCATTTGTCATAATAGGCTTTTCTTTCTCTTTATCACTACCACGCCATAAAGGCAAGACAGTTTGCAAATAACTGGATGAACCTTGAAATGTATCTAATCTCTGTTCATCCTGACGCTTGTTAACAAAGTGTTTATATGGATCCACCAACTGTGATTCATCTGAATCAGTTGTAGAGAATACTTCCATGGGGCTTCCCGGGAGTAAACGTGGACGTGAATAAACTATGCCACGAATGGCTTGGATTTGTATCAAGAAAGGTGAAGTTACGACTCCACTTTCGTATAAGCGTGAATCGTATTCTGAATTTTGTGGTGACCATGTTGGATTAACAGTTTCTGCCTTGCATAAAAATATTCCTGAATGACGTGTATCCACTCTCGAAATATCTAGTATCTTTAATTCGAAAACATAGAGAAAAAAAGCAATTAATATCGGTTTATACGTAATGAATATATGCTAAGTTGATTTTAAATACATAACTTAATTTACAAATATGAAATTAAAATCTGCACGGAATGATGTAGAAATAAAATGGTGGTTACATGAATGATCATAAACTATTAATGTATGGTAAATCTTGGCTCCAAACATATTATACTTCATTGAACTGCAAAAGTAGCGACTTTCGAGCTCATTTATTCAATAAAATTCTGCGTGCATTGTATTTCACAAGTCCTGTTTGTCATCTTTCTTCCTCTTTGTAAATCGTGTCACATTTCTATAAATCATCGAAGATATTCTAGAGCCCTTTACTTACGATCACATTTAACGTGTCCTATGATTATCTCCCTAACTTCTTATGAATGGCCTAAGCAACCAAGAGGTTTGATTAGTTATTCGATCTGTTGTGTTTTTAATGTGAAGAGCCCTCACCTAGTTACGTTTTTTCCTATGGCTGTTCATTATCCCTTGTTGAATTATTTGGATTACGTATAATCCTCTGTGCTAGGCGAGTTTCCTGACAAAAAGAGTCCTAAGTGAAGGTTATTACTTCATTATTCTGATTCCATCTATACTTGTGGTATCACATCTTTTTCTAAACGCGTTTAACACATTTGAGAAGTTCTGTTCTTGATGTGTTTAGATTTATTTCGAATTCATTTCAATTTGCCGTATCGAATTTCTCAATTTCGGGTATATGACTTTCTCTCGGGCTGGATATTACTAAACGTATTTTACGACAAAATATTGTGACTACAATAGAAAATTTACTCACTAAAAGTTATTCACCTTCCATACATTTCTGTTTAGTGTAATTTTGTTATAAAGTTGTTGGAATTAGGTTAGTCAAACTCATGAATTCTGGGGCAATACAGAATTAAAGCCTTTACTAAATAATTGACGCATTTAGAAATGTGTTGGTTTATATGAAATAAAGATCCGATTTACATTAACACATAACAGTGAAGACAGAGTAAATCGGTTTGATTATAATATATTTTATATCATATAGTCTGCTGAAATCTTGATCAATCCGGAGTAATATTTGAGTAACAAAATACCTAACAATCCTGTAGAACTTGAAAATCAACAAATGAAATCGGCAATGGCACTCCATGTGATGTTTAACAACAATCGAACCGATGTTAAAAATATCCACATGATCCTAGAAGTATTTTCGACTAAAAACAAATGAATATAGCTGAGGCACTTCACATATTGCTCATTCCTACAGTTTTCGATATAAGTGAGGGGCTGACTAACTGACCAGCCAGAAACTTTTTTTTGAACAGTCATATTCAACGCAGTTGGGAACATACAACTAAGACACTAATTAAATGACTCATTCACACTATAAATATAACATTTTCCACACCTACTCACATAAACAACTCCGCTTGTAGCTCTTCTAGAGTTACGGCCGGTCCCAAGCTCGGGTAAATGAGGAGGGTTGGGCATGGGATTAGCGTCCCCATCCCGTAGAAAAATAACTCGCTAAAAAAACGCTAATCAGAAAAAATAATTCAAACCATCTAAACTCTGCCCTGAGAGTTAGAAGGTTTTCATTTAGAAGAATTATGACGCCTCATGGTGAAAGCCGAGTTCCTTCGGAAGCCACGAGGCCGATGCCCCTTCTAACAACCAGGGCAAAAAGTTTTATAGGTACATGGAACGTTCGAACAATGTGAGAAACCGGGAAGACCAGTCAAATAGCAATGGAAATGAGGAGATACAACCTAGCAGTACTGGGAATCAGCGAAATCCATTGGACAACAAAGTCTAAATACGGGAGAGATGGTGCTTTACTCCGGCAACGAAGAGGAAAATGCTCCACACACTCAGGGAGTTGCTCTAATGCTGTCCAAAGTAGCACGAGATGCACTTGTAGGATGGGAATCTCACGGATCCAGAATCATCAAAGCATCATTCAAAACAAAGAAGGAGGGGATCACAATGAATATTATCCAATGTTATGCACCCACCAATAATAGCAACGACGACATTAAAGATCAATTCTACGAGCGGCTGCAGTCAATCATAGCAAAGTGCCCAAGAAATGACCTCACCATTCTGATGGGAGATCTTAACGCCAAAGTCGGAATAGACAACAACGGATATGAACATATCATGGGACGACATGGACTGTGAGAGAGAAACGAAAATGGGGAAAGATTTGCAAATCTATGTGCATTCAACAAATTGGTCATAGGCGGCACAATATTTAAAAACAAACGTACACACAAAGCTACATGGATCTCACCGGACCACACCACAGAGAACCAAATAGATCATATTTGCATCAATAGAAAATTCTGAAGGACAATGGAAGATGTGAGAACCAGTAGAGGAGCTGATATAGCTTCAGATCACCACCTAGTTGTAGCTAATTTAAAACTGAAGCTAAAGAAGCACTGTACAACTGGACAAACAGCACTATAAAGGTTCAATACAGCCTTCCTTCGAGATACTGACAAACTCAATGAATTCAAGATAGCTCTCAACAACAGGTTCCAAGCCTTACAGGATTTACTGAAGGAAGAAGAAACTACTATGAAGGACAACTGGAAAGGCATCAAGGAAGCATTAACTTCAACGTGTCAAGAGGTTCTGGGTCTAAAGAAATACCATCATAAAGAATGGATCTCTATAGAAACACTGGACAAGATCAAAGAAAGGAAGAACAAGAAGATAATAATTAAAAACAGCCGAACCAAAACAGAGAAAGTCCAGGCACAAGCTGAGTACATAGAAGCAAACAAGCAAGTGAAGAAGAGCATTAGAGCCGACAAGCAGAAATACGTGGAAGAACTAGCAACGACGGCGGAAAAAGCTGCAAGAGAAGGAAATATGAAACAGCTTCACGATACAACGAAGAAACTGGCAGGGAAATACAGTAAACCAGAGAGACAGGTCAAGGGTAAAGAAGGCAGGCCAATCACTGAAATTCAACAACAGCGGAACAGATGGGTAGAGTATTCCTGAATAGGCCGGCTCCAATGAGCCGACCGGACATCGAAGCAGCACACACAGATCTTCTTATAGATGTCAATCCACCAACGACGGAAGAAATCAGAATGGCCATCAGACAAATCAAGAGCGGGAAAGTAGCAGGACCCGACAACATACCAGCTGAAGCACTGAAGTCAGACATCAAAGTAACTACATACATGATTCACCTTCTATTCAAAAAGGTTTGGGAGGAGGAACAAGTGCTGATGAACTGGAAAGAAGGACACTTCATCAAGATTCCAAAGAAAGGAGATCTGAGCAAGTGTGAAAACTACAGAGGCATTACACTACTGTCAATACTAGAGAAAGTCTTCAACAGAGTGTTGCTGAACCGGATGAAAGACTTCTTCGACACTATGGAGTTCCTGAGAAGATTGTCAACATTATCCGGAACTCACGACGGACTACAGTGCAAAGTGGTGCATGGAGGACAGCTGACAGATGCATTCCAAGAAAGGAGCGGAGTCCGACAATGCTCCCTTCCTCTTCTGGTGGTCGACTGGATTATGAAGACATCGAATTCTGAGGGAAAACACGGCATACAATGGACAGCTCTGAACCAATTGAACGATTTGGACTTCTCAGATGACCTAGCCCTCCTACCGCATATACACGAACAAATGCAGATAAAGACAGCCAGTGTAGCAGCAGTCTCTATATCAGTAGGCCTCAACATACGCAAGGGGAAAACCAAGGTCCTCAAATTTAAAACGGAGAACACCAATCCAATCACTCTTGGTGGCGAAACTCTTGAAGATTTGGAGTCCTTCACATACCTGGGAAGCATCATCGATGAACAAGAAGGTTCAGATGCAGACGTAAATGGGAGGATTGGCAAAACAAGGCTCGCATTCCTGCAATTGAAGAACATATGGAACTCAAAACAACTTTCAACCAATATCAAAGTGAGAATCTTCAATACGAACGTCAAGGCAGTTCTACTGTATGGAGCTGAAACTTGGAGAACTACAACAACTACCATCAAGAAGGTACAAGTATTTATAAACGGTTGTCTAGGCAAGATACTCAACATCCATTGGCCGGATACCATCAACAACAGCCTTCTCTGGGAGAAAACAAACCAGCTTCCAGCTGAAGAAAAAATCGGGAGATTATGGAAACGGATAGGACATACATTACGCAAATCGTCAAACTGCATCATGAGGCAAGCCCTAACTTGGAATCCTGAAGGGAAGCGAAAAAGAGGAAGGCCAAAGAACACATTGCGTCGGATAATAGAAGCAGATATGAAAAGGATGAATTACAACTGGACGGGGCTAGAAAGGATTGCCCAGGACAGGGTTGGATGGAGAATGCTGGTGAGCGGCCTATGCTCCTTCACGAGGAGTAACAGGCGTTAGGAAACTTGTAAAAGTAGTAAGTAAACTCACATAAACATGAACATAAAAATATGTACAATACAGGACCACCTAGATGTGACATTTGTGTAGTCAGACTTTTATCTACTAAATGTTCTGATCCGCTTTATTCCCTTAACAATTTGAAAAAAATTATTTATTCTTTGAAGAAGCAACTTACATCTGACATTAAATTTTGTGCTCACTAGGATATTGCAAATATATTATTTTTATTAATCAATAAAATTTATAGGTGAAGTGATTTTTATCTACTTGACACTTTTCGGTCAGATCAGGATTTCAATGCCCGAATACTAAAAATATTCGTTCCCAAGTGACTTTTCCGATTAGTAAACGAGTAGAAAAGTCAACGGTAAGATTTTTCAATCAAAATGATGAGATAAACAGTTACGGATGTGCCCGATTAAAAGCTTTCAGTGATCAAACCTGTTCATAGGAATTTCGCTAATTTATCTTTTCACGCAAATATACAGGGATACTGTCTCTACATAAAATCACTCTTCAAAAAATTTAAAGTTTATTTACTTCGTTACATACTAAACGTAAGTACCAGTAAATTTTCTT